GGCTGAAGGGGAAGGAGCCGGTGGTCTACCCCTGGATGAAGAAGATCCATGTGAGCACGGGTGAGTTGCCCTTGCCAGGGGGAGGTGGGGATGCGCCTGCAGAGGAGGGCAGAGGGGAGGGTGCTCCCGGGGCCGGGATGGGGCCTTGCGTGTGTGGCTTTCCCCCTCCTTCTCCCTTCGCGTTTCCTAATAAAAAAAAAAAAGGGGAAAAAAAAGGAAAAAAAAAAAGTGAGAAACCTTTTGTATCCGGGGTCCTTTATCAAAAGATTTACGAGACGCCAAACTGTTAGGGCAGTAATTATAGCCCCCATAAATTTAATTGCCCTGCGGTGGCTCTGGGCCATGTGTCTTTGAAGCTTTTCTTCTAACCCAAATGCCCATCACCATTTTTTATTGCTCCTCGATTGTCCCCACTGTCGATAGGCTGCGAAACAATTTTTCTTGCCGTTTATGTATCTTATGTGAACCTGGTGTCGAGTTATTAAATAATGATTATGTTCCATCGCTTTCCACCCCCCCCACCCCCCTTTCTTTCCCCTCCGCGTGTGCGTGTGTGTGCCTCTGTGCGCACGTTTCAGTCAATCCCAATTACAACGGAGGGGAGCCCAAGAGGTCTCGCACTGCCTACACCAGACAGCAGGTCCTGGAGCTGGAGAAGGAGTTTCACTTCAACCGCTACCTGACCAGGAGGCGACGCATCGAGATCGCGCACACCCTCTGCCTCTCCGAGCGCCAGGTCAAGATCTGGTTCCAGAACAGACGCATGAAGTGGAAGAAAGACCATAAACTGCCTAACACAAAGATGCGCTCCTCAAACCAGTCCTCACTGAGCCAGCAGTCCAAAGCACAGACACAGGGCCACCCTCATCCGCTCGATGGGGCTACACCCAACGCAGCTGCTCTATAAATACGTTTTTTTTTGTTTGTTTGTTTTTAATATATATATATATACCTATCTATTGGGCTTTTCCAGCTGCCCCGTGGTGGAGGCTGGCCGTTTGGACCAAACAACTGTGTAAAACAAAACAGGAGCAGGAAAGGAAGACGAGACGTGTCCAAGAACGGGCACATGTTTAAACCAAAACCCGGACGATTGTCTACATTGTATATAGATAATGGTTCCATGCCCATCATTTTTTTTCTATTTATGGAAACTCTCTCTTGCCCTCGATGTAAGAGGGGGCTGGATGCTGTCACGGACGAATTCTCTGTACCTAAGACGGACTTTTTTTTTTTTTTTTTTTTAGAGAACACTTTAAAAATAAAAGACGATTAAAACAAAGACCTCGTGAGACACTTGTGTAAGGCATTGACTTGAATAGCGCTGTTTCGTGGCGTGTTCGTGGATTCCCGTGTGCGTGTGTGTGTGTGAGGGTGCACACACACGTGTGCACACACGCCAACACGGGAGAGAGAGCGAACACGTCCGCGGGAGGTTAAAGACTTGAGAAAAATGTCCCCTCACGCTGTCTAAAGGAAAATGTTTTATGTATCAAAGGTAACTTAACTGGTTTTAAGTGTAGCCCCCGCAGTAGCTGTGATCTCTTAGTTTTTCTCCACGTTCCCTGTTGCATTTATTTAAAGAAGTATTGCTATAAAGGCTGTTGCTGTCTTCATATTTGGCACCGTCTAAATCGTTTGGGTCCATGTACAATTTGTGGATTTTTGGTGTAATGTATAACAGTGCCAAGTGCTGGTAATAAAGATTATCCTGCAGAAAATAATTAAATGCTTGAAACACAAGTCCACTCAGTGCTGTTTCATCCACCTTGTGCTTGGCTGATGTTGGCACCAGGAATGGAAAACAACGGTTTAACGCATTGTTTTAACTCGGATTCGTCTTGTCAATAAGGTAATGGTTGCTTTAAATATAGTGAAAAAAGTCCTGACTCCCAATTACCTGGCTGGGAAAAAGAGCGTTGCAGGACGAGGAAAGGTCTTGCTTCATTGTATAGGTGAGTGGTGTTCTTTCCTTAGCGGACTTAAGGCAGAATTAGCACGACTCTCCATCTCCGTCCGTATGACTATTTTCAGCTGCATTACAGAGAGACTACGCTTCTACTGGGAGCCAATAAGCTCCCATGACGGGTTTTGCTGGAGGAGAAGTCACACATGCTCCCCATTATAACACTTTAAATCTTTAGCCAGTCGTGATTTATTCGTTCATTTTCGCCCGATTATGATTTCTCAATTGGCTAGCACTTTTGAAGGGGAATACATGGGCGGTAACCTAAAGTTTCTCTAAGCTGCCTTTTCTGTTTCTGTTTACTTTTATTTTATTTTTAAGACTGTTTCGAAATGTGTCAAGAGAGCCTCGGCAGAAACACGAAATTGGGTACAACTCAAGGGGTTTATTTGACTGAGATTGTAGAAATGGCTGTGGCAAAATGGAGTTCAAGTGGTGCCAGCTCAGACTGCTCACCTCGCTGCTTCCAGACAGCGAAGGAGCGCAGGCAAAGCGGAGTTGGTAACGGGGAGCCTTGCCCAGGGCTTCCACAACAGAGAATAGCACTGAGCCGGGTTGGAAAATGCTTGGAAAGTAGCTCAAGTGCTAGTAAATCGTCCAGGGAAGGCCTGAAGGCCAAGACTTATTTACTTACCTAAATACATCGAAGAGGGATTTTGGAATCAATGCTTCTCTTCGCCTGGGTGAGGCCACCAGGACTGGGTGCACCATCACCCCCTGGGTGAGGCAGCACCAGGCCCCAGCGGTACTGCCATCATCCTTGCCTGGCCAGGAAGTAAGGATCGTCCCACAGAAAAATGTAACGTGCCGCTGGCAGAGCATGTGGCATCTCCAGCATCGGAGAGATGGTGGGTGTAAACACCCTCAGCAAACACTGCTGCCTCCAAATCTGACCGAGAAGCAGGCCTGAAAAGTGCACTTCCACTCACATATTGCTGTTTACTAAACCCTGAATTGCCAGCTATCTCCTTATAAAGGGAGAAAAATATAACTGTAAGTGAGGTAACTACTATCCGCAGGCGCGTAACTCTTCTTTTTGTTTATTGCTTGAGAATCCCTCAATATATTTAGAGTCAAAATTAGCACAACCGAGCAAAATTCCAGATGAAATGTATTAACTGGAGATGCAGGATTTCTTTAGTGTGCAGGCTATGCATATAAACCTGGTTTGCTCCCATTGTAAAGAGAAATGAAATCATGCTGCAAATAGCAATTTTAGCGAGAATCATTAATCACCTCCTACAATAAATACTTCTTTGTAATTCAACAGCGGTTCTGAAAGGCATTCTCTTGGAAAAGTCTGTGAAGACGCAAAGGATTTTCCTGGAGAAAAAAAAAAAAAATGGTCATGTGTAAAGACACAGCATCTTGGCTGTCTGCTAAAAAAATGTACACACTCTTGCTGGAGACTGATCCGCGGACTGCAAAATGCCCCATGGCAGATTATCGTCGTTTAAGGTAAATTTTCCTTTTCCCCCTCTCCTTCTACCTCTGCCTGTGCTGGGAGCGGGACGCTGCTCCGGGGCTGGAGCTCTCTGCTCCCCGTCAGATACCTCCCGTCTTTACAATAACTTCGAAAATTAGATCGTCCAGTTTAAATTCTCGCATTGTGCTCCCTTTGCTAAGGCAACCGGGAGTTCACCGAGAGGACAAATTTTCTATCCCATTAATTGTTTTTTTTAGAGGAGCAGACTGACCCTTCAAACCCTTGACCTTTAAAGACAGTATTCTTTTTAATCCGGCACTTGGACCTAAATGTCTTTTTCCCTATCCCTTCTCCCGCTCTCCCGGTGTCTCTCACACACGGATTTATCTGCTCTGGCCACAAAAGCGAGCGCGGGCCAAAACGCTGGAAGTGGAAATCTGTCAATATTTCAAAGAAAGACCAAATCACCTCGGAGTCAATTTGCTGGCCGCAGGGAACGCCACGCCGTTAACCCCGATACCCACCTCCCCTCCACCCGCC